TATATATACATATACATATATATACAGATATACCCATATATACACACACATATATATATACATATACACATATGTATATACATATATATGTATCTATATATATATATATATTATATATATATTGTTTGTATAGAATACTCCTACTGTATATGGGTGTGTGTCGAGTGCACATGCGTGTATTGAATGTTATTTTGAAATACTCATAAAAGCAGATGTAGAAGGATCTTACCTGAACGTCAGGTACTTGATATTTTCTGGTTCCTCTTCTGTGGTATATATGATCTGCAGTGTTTTCAGTGTTAAGAGGAGACGCATTGCAAACTGGTATTGCTTGTTAGGCTTTCTAACCTGGAATAGCATCCAGTCGGTATATGGATCATCTGAATCTTCTGGTTTTGGAATTTTGAAAGTCGATATGAACGTGAATGAAGATGGGAATCCCTCAGGAAACAAGGTTCTTATAAAGAAAACAGCACAAATGGTTAATAATAATCTAACTGCTACAAAAATACGAGTGTGGGTTTTCCCTATTTGTATTGTAAGAACAGTCCTTCCGCTTGCGACTGAGTGAATATCTGCCATTACGTCTAAGGTTTTGCAATGATACAAATATCAGTTGACGAATTCAATTCAAATTTAATTCAATGTTGTTTTTTTTTTTTTGCTACAGAGCCGTCAATTATAAAATCAAATTTCTGTAAAACATCACAAATACCACGTGATGAATCGTGCTTAAATGGCGATTCGTAAAATATTACGCCTACTTTACAACACGATAATGATGTAAACTTAACCCTAATGTGTAGACTATTTAGTTCTACCATTTCCAGTAAACACGAGGGAATGAAACTGAGATAATGTTATTGTGCATTTCGATTATATGTTGCATGAGTTGAGGAGAAAGACCCCACTGGAAATAAGTCTTCGGACTTAAGTGAGTTATCCCTGTATTTCACATCTAAGAAATCCAATCCAAACAGTTTATCCGATACCATTTCTTATAGATTCGGTAACACGGGTTATTAATTCATAACAACGTACTGTTACATATCCACACGATTTAATGTATTTGTATAATATAATAGAAACGGAAGGAACAGGTTATTATTCTTCTAAGGTTCATTTGGTTTCTATGTGTGACGAATAAGAGATATTTCTTATGATTGAAACCAGATTAATATTAACCATGATTGTATAGTGATAATATATAATGTTTAATGTAATAGGCCCTATATACAACTTTTATTCTAAAAATATGGTTCAACTGAATACAAGTCCTGTGTGTATATAGTTAACAATTCAAAACTAAAACACATCATACCAATTGATTCTCTCTTTTACGATATCTCTTAAAACATATAAATGTTACAAGAACGATATTTATAGCGCCTTTCCTTGCTGTTACAAGAAGCGCTTGTACAACTCACTCTTACCATCTACTCAAACTATTATGTGTTCGCTGTTGCTGCTGCTGCAAAAAAAAAATATAGCCTACAGGTCCTAAGGTGAATCAGAGACCGTTCTCCTAGAAGGAAGTAGTTGGTTGTACGATGTGCAAAGGTTTGACAAAGCGTATACACTGGAACTTTTCTAAGAATCAGCAATTGAAAACTTGAGCAAACATTTTGTAACCAATGACAATGCTGCTGTTTCTTGTACCCATATTTGTATATAGGCACATTTATATATAAATTTATCTTCCTCGTTATATAACACACGTAATATAAACTAAGAGGTAATACAGATGAAGCTACCTAAACGCATTGGCTATCAATAAACAAAACAAGAATAAGAATGTGTAGGCACTGTGCCAAATTCTATTTCAAATTTCAAATTTGTTTTTTCTTTGTAAACTTACCTAGTTGTTGTCGTCAGGTTTGCCTTTCTCTCGATTTTGTAAGACGTTTGGAATTCATTTGAGCCTCGATTTAATTTCTTGACGCCTTTCAATTCGCCATCCATGCCAAACGCCCGGATAATATCAAAAGCTGTATGTCAGCAGCGAAGCAACATAACAGCAATGTAAATGAAGTGTTCGTTCAAAAACAGAATACAAACATTTAGTTATACACCAGATATGCTTATCTATTATATGCTAATGCTGATGACGGTGATAAAGATAATTATTTAAAATGGTACGGATGTTGTTGAAATTATTATGGTGGTGATAATGTGTTGCTGTCGGTATTACTCCATGGAATATAACTGCTTTATGTCTGGTATAATATGATAAAGTAAAAATAAAGTATTAATGAAAAGTGAAAACTTACTTGTTAAGTCATCGTCTAACTTTGATATTTCGCAGCGTTCTGTAATATATAGAATACATTTGTGAATTAAAAATAATGTAGATCGGTACAGTACCAGACAGGCAAAACATTCTATTTTATTTTCTATAGTCCGTTCTGCCAATTGTGGTCTGTTTGTGTAACATTTTTTTTCATATTTGTTTACTTTAATGATCATGATTTACACAATTATTTTCTTTGATACAATATCTTTACTTGTATTTTCAAGTTTGTATTTGTTGTTATCTGGTATGTTTTGTTTTTAGAAATCAAAATTATTGTCTCATAATCATATCTCGATTATTATTAAAATCATTATACAATTACCATGTTCACCATCATCACCACTGCCAACTTATTCATCATTGTTATCACCATCGCAAACATCACCAATATCATCATCATCATCATCATCATCATCACCACCACCATCATTATCATTATCATCATCATTACCATCATTATATCCCTGTGATATTATCATACAATATTACAAATAACAATAATGCCTATTGGAATTTCAATAATAAATATTATTATTGGTAACACTACCATCATGTAATATCCACCGCACCAGTACACCAACATTAATACCTATCATAATCGTCGTTATCTTCACCATCATTATCACCATCACAATTATCATTCATCATCTTCATCATCCTCATCAGCCTGCTTATGTGCAGTTTAGTCCACTCTAACACTTTACTCAAACTGTATCTTGCTCGACATTGTACTAAGACATAAAACGAAGGAATAACATTAAAAAAACATGGCTTACGGCAATTTGCTATGCTAATGGCAGTTAGCAAAAGGCAAGCGCTAACCAAGTGATTTAAAGGTGATCTGAAAAGAAAAAATAAACACTTTTGATAAATACTACTACGAAAATGGGTGTAATATCTGTTGCAAATTGACGAACTGATCATATATCTAAATTTTCTCTAATGTTTGGGGATTCAGTTGCTTTTAAGATTAAATTTTAGCAATGACCACTGTTGCTGAAAAATCTCCTGATATAGTTAATCCAACATATTTGACACGTCCCAGCATGGGTAAAACACATTCATAAAATTATTTAATCGCACTGGTAAGCCACAGTACCCTATGCTATCAAATGTTACTCGGTTCATAACCACTGAAGATTATAGGTCCACTATTAAATACTTGAAATAAATCGAATTGCATGCTGAAAGGATTTGAATCGTGTGAACGCATGGTGAGATTCTGGCACGCAATACTCGAAGAATCCCAGTGATCAAAACCAATAACTATACATAATGGTATTGGAATCCATGGCATATCAACTTGCAGTCACATTAAATCAAATTCTTCGACGGAATGTATGCTATGAACATTAAGAATTCCTCAATAAAGTTAGTTTTCCTTGGAAGAGCACAACTGTCTTGGAATAAAAATCTTCACAAATAAACTTCTCTCCGATTATTTCACAAAAAAAGCTAACATTAATTCATACACGATGTTTAAAAATAGGCCCATCTTACTAGATATCTTTTAATCGAGCAACCTACTCCTTAACATATGCCTACTCTATGACTTTATAAAAACAACTGGCAAATCAAGCCATTAATTACTTTCAGAACACAATATAATGCAATACAAGAAATAACTACCTAAAAGTTGCCAATTTAAAGAATTACCTAAAATATAAAAATAGATGTGATTATCATATTTTAACACGATATTGAACAAACACATAAATGCCAGAGAGAGAGAGAGAGAACGAGGGGAATAAAACATTTTATATTAGATTGCCATTAACTATAGACTGTATATCAATATTACATAATTATTAAAAATAACAATAAACATTAGGAATTAATCAATGAAAATGTATATATCATATGAAATCTAGGTGTGGTAGCACTCGCTCACTTAAGCATGACGATGTCGTGCGACGCAAAGTTTATGTGTCTTATATAACCTGTTCAGCTGTTATGGAACATGAAACTCAACCACAAATACTTATCTTGCATATAATCAACTAATAAGTATTATTCTCTGTGGATTTATAAGAAACCATATCATATAGCGATTCAACTTGGTGCCTAGACAGAAGGAACGATGAGTCGCAGAGGAAAGCTATTGGCATCTTCAAGGGGATATGTAGTACATCAGCTGCATTCAGTTCTACAACCTAAAATGCAAGTTGTTAAAACAACCTTAGGCATGATGCTCATGAGAACGATATCTGATGTCATTAGCACAGAAAATCTGATTACGCTTCTAGTTCTTCAAAAATTTCTTTAGGGGGAAAACATGTACAAGAGACGCGTTGGGCCGACTTATTTGCCCTAAAACTACAAATCCCATTTCGAATGTCAAACACGATGTAACTTTAATTTTGCCAACTGTAGAAACTTCTCAAGGGCCACCTTAAGGTAAACGTATAACCCAATAATAGTATCTAATTATCTCTGAAATAACTAAAAATGTATAAGACCTGGAATTGGTCACATACTTATCAGATTTCACCAAACAGCACATATTAAATTGTTTCACATACCAAAAATTAACAATAGGAAGGGTCTATATTCACGTTTGTATTCATTGTAGCAACTCTTATATCGCTTAGTGTTCAACTACAGGATACATTCAAATCATTTCATTTTATTAGCGTAAAACTTTCTTCCAACACAGACCAACACATAAATACTTGTTCCATGTACATATTGTGAATCATTTAATATATAAAAAACAAAAATGTAAAGAATTATACGATAAAAATATATCAAGGGTGAGAATATATATATACATCCATATTCTCTGCATAACCAGCCATTGTAGCCACCACACAATTAAAACAACTTCAATAACGTGTAGGCCTACATTTTATGTATTCACGAATGAAAATAAAGTGAAATTACACGCCATGTAATATGACTGTTGTTGCAGTGACCTGATCACTACTTAGGCGCAGTGTTTGCGATAATAATTACCTTCTTGACTTGTACTCTTGTAAATTCGGCAGCTAATGGTCATCACTGACCACGCTGCACACCAGTCCCATCGGCAGGGAACATATCGTTTACAATATGTTTAGAATAACTGTGTACCCTTAGTACAACCAGGGTCATACTGTACTATTTTCAGACGAAAAAAATGTAATTATGTTGAAACTACCTATATAATATCAAGTAATCTATCATTGCAATTTAAAGACACGGTTTATTTTTAGCAAACTTATTGAAGCTATTACAATTGGATATAATGTGCATGCTTAGGAGGCCTACTGGGTCAATTAAGTATCGGAATGTTTGTAAATTACATGTTATATTGTACGTATTGGTTATAGCTCAGTGTGAGTTAACTATTGAATTTGTATTTGCCAACCAAATAAAAATGACACGTAAATGCGTTAGATTCAATTCCCAACTCCATTTGATTTATCTTTTCTTAAATTCATTGGCTACACCCTCGAAAATAGCACGGCATGTAGGCCTGTATTGAACCTTACACGGCATATAGAGAAGTTTTGTGAGAGTGTTAAATCTGACAAAACCCTAAAACTACGACTTGCCAATCTAAACTAGTAATAAGCGATGAATTTATAATTAGAAAGAAATCGACACAATTCAGAATTTCGATAATAATAATAATAATAATAATAATAATAATAATAATAATAATAATAATAATAGTAATAATAATAATGATGATGATGATGATGATCATAATAATAATAATAATAATAATAATAATAATAATAATAATAATAATAATAATAATAATAATATTTTGAAACTTTTGAAAATTTGTAATACTCATCAAAGGATAATTACAAGAAACAAAATACAAAATACAAAAAGGATATAAAAATAGTATAAATATTACACATTAACGATAATTTCATATAAGCTCATGTTTTATTTCTTGGTCCATTAATTTGCAAATGTAAATATTCTCAGACGTATAATATCTTCGAAATAGTAATATTTTAACATGTTTTGTAAACTTTAAAAAAAAATTAAAATCTTTGTTATCTCAATAAAGATTGATTTTAAACATGTTCGGCTGAAGCTTGTATCTTATACTACTTTTGTTTGTCCCTATGATTCCAAGTGTTCCGGTAATGGTCCATGGGTCTGGAATATAGTGAAAACAATTGACGGTACCAAGTTCCTTAAAGATTTTATAAATACCAATAGAGTTTCTATACATTTTTAAACTGGCAAAAAAAAAAAATGATTGGCAATGGAAATAGTTATAAATAACTATAATGATTAAAGTGCAGTAAGAGGGCGATTGCATTGCTTATGATAAATAATCAGCACATAGTAATTCGATCAAATCAATGTATGTTCAGCCGTTGGAAAGAAAAATTTTAGCATTCATGTCTGAATGGGTTATTTTGCAAAAACAGTTCATAATTGCACATAATTGGCTGGTTTAGCCTGAAAACCTGATATACTATCTGGACCTTTTTATTTGAAATGTATACTGATGATACAGGCTTGATAGTCGCCGCAAGGATAACGATGACCTTGACAGAAGTTAACCCAATTGCCTAGGAGTAATTTTCTGTAGCCGCATTGTGCAACTGAAAATACTTCGAACCTGTTACAAAAACTATTAATATTTCTTGAATTGTCCAGATTTGAAAGCAATTGACTTTAAAGTCAACATAAAAATCTACTGATGTCATAATACCCCGCAGGTTGTGTAGGTAAAAAGAAACTGATATAGTGTATTGTACATTGGACTTAACACAAGAAGCATTAAAGTCATTATGTTACTGTACCGTCACTGAGAGGAGGACAAACATACACATTTAATTGAATCATAGCTTATAAAATAATATACATAAGAAAAGATGCATAAAATACCAGATCAAACTGCTACTGTTAGAAGCATAACACATTTATTCTATTGAAAATTTTCCATCAACACTTAATCTCCGGGAAATTAATAAATTGGTAATAATATTTCAAATTATAACAAAATAATAGAAAAATTACCTAAACATTTGAATACTGTATTAGAAATGCAGTAGGCGTATTTGTGGTTTTCAAGTTATGAAAACAGTAAACCAACAAACTGGTGTTGTCTCTCGTGTTGTATTGATACATGAAACTGGTTTCATTTCTCTAGATATAATTGTTGAAGAAATGTTTTGTGTTTCTCTAAATTACTAAGCTTAGCTATTAAGTATATTAGTATCACTTATTCAGAACAAGTTGCTGTTAGCGAATTTTCTTGTTTTTTTTAATTTTTCAGATCTTAAATGAAATTGTTACTAACATTTTCTATTTCTGAACTAGTAAAAAAAAACCTTAGACATACATTAGAGTAAATCTAATTTAGATGTAATTACGTAATATTCTGCCTTGCATACAGCTGTGTCGAATGTTTAGATATGAAGAATATTAAATATTCTTCATATCTAAACGTCACTGGAGAGAATAGAATTTACATCGTAACATAAGAATTAAAAAGGAAACAAACGTTGTTATGATTTCAATTTCCTAAAATTGCAGTTACTGACATAGAATAACAATTACAATGTCAATTAGATGCATGCAGACCGAGAGTATCTACCAATTATATTAATCAAATTGATGAGATAATAGAGCCAGTTGCAGATGTTGTAAACCTATGCATCTCAGAGCAAACTATAACTATAAAATATGCAGAGAATAATATATCAATGGTTTTCTTATAGAATGTATGTACGTGTGTGTCCTCATTGAATACCAGAACGTGCTTTTCCCACGAAGCTCTCAATAAGAGATTGACATGGCAGATATTTCAAACAAGAATTAAAATACACACCGAATTATATTTATTAGGCCACACCTTTACATTCCGCGAACATCACAATCTCGAACTCCTACTGAGAGACGAAAGGCGCCTTATCGTCTACTAATAAACGTATTTCAGCATAAGCTTATCTTCTTTCTGAATTCGTGTCATAATAAACAACTTTAGATTAGAAAGATTTAATTACTTAGTATTCATAGCAATATATAATATACATAAAAAATGAGAATACATGCATTTTATATAGAAAAGGAGTAAGCCTTTATTTAGTATTATAAAAGGCATAAAATATTGAGTACATTTTTGAATGTGATATCACGAATAACGTGTTTTTCTCAACGTAAAAGTACAATAATAAACTTCGAAACCTACTTATATACTTTTCTTTTTTTAATCTGTTAGTTAACATGAAAATATATAAATTATTTAACAAGTATCTAAATACATTGGCAATCATAATTTCATTATCGTTAGATTAAAAAAAGAATTCAGTTAAACTATTTAGCCTATAATGTATTTACTACTATTTTAATCGATAACTCTACACTTTTTTTAGTCGAGTCGTATCTAAATACCTCGGCAATCATAATTTTATTTTCTTGAGATAAAAACGAATTCAGTTTATTGGTTAAAGTATTTAGCAATGTATTTACACTACTATGTTAATCAATAACCCTACATGTTTTTAGTCGAGAACACTATATTTCAAGGAGAATGATTATTTGATAAAAGCCTGTTATTTTAACACGCAAATTTATATCCACGGATCGATGGAAATATAACGACTGTACCAGGGATGCAGGCGAGCAGACATCATCAAGAGGCAAAGACACAATGTAGAATGAAAACAAATGTTATTTTTAATGACGAAATAGACTATACAAAATATAATATAATACGTATGTGTGCAATTAGTTAACAAGTAAAATTATGTCATACATTTTACACATAAATTAACTATTTTAAGGTTAAACGTAAAAAAAAAAATTAAAAAAAAATCAGCTACACGGTACGTGTTATGAGGGTGTTCAAAACCCCACCCTATTAATACGATAATCGCTTTGAATAAAGCGGAAGGAATGGTGATGGAAGCGGGAAAATTCAAAATATTATATAATTGTGATACAAGGTAAGACACGTCGTGCTCGATTAGTGTCAAGCATTAAAAGAGAACTTTGCTGGACAAGATGATGTTGCACATGCCCAGTACCGGTAGACTATCCTCCCAGGTAAAATCAAAATTAGCCGTCCAGGATTATAAAGGTATTTTCAGACCAAGCGCTGAAAATGGCTTTTCGTGCGGTGCGGTATTTCAATAATGCTTTAAGACGAGGGCATCATGAGTTCTCTTGTTCGCAGTTTATTGAGGCCTAGCACTGTTCTCACATATTTTCCGAAAAGTGTGAAAATCAGTTACTTTTATTCGGATTCAAATTTTCAATTAAGCCCATTTTGTTAGGCGTCGTCATAGTGACAGCAGGAGTTCCAGGATTGGAATCCCGGTATTTGTTTACACTCACAGATTCTTTATTTTTAACATTCAACATGTTCTGTGTATATATTATTATATTCATGTTTAAACAGTGTTGTATACAATATTTACTCCGTTTTCATGATTTCTCGTTGTCATACTATCATTAAACCTCTCGATCTTAATTTATATCTCTTTATATTATCTTTAAACTTCGAGATCGAAATTCGAAGTTGAAATATAGTTATTCTACATGGAGGTTAACTTCAAGAGAAACATGTGAACAGATTACTGAACGTAAGTTTCCAGCAGCGCGTCAACGGATACCTACAAATCAGACACATCAAACATGCGTCAACATTACCACATACTGCGACACCTCTCAAATACTTTCAAATAATATACTTCTAAATGTTGTAACCCTTTTAACATTTTCAAACAACTTTCTTAATAATAAAAATAATAATAATTTTACGGCTTGCAATTTAAGGATACTGTATCGCTTCATCTATATTTACGTTTGTTTGTTAATTTTGTAGGCATCAGTGCATAATGAAAAACATTTAATATAAGTTAATTATCAGATAATTTGGCCTACCTCGTCAACATCTTGCCGGTTACGCTGCTACAGATCCGTGTCACCGTTTAGTGTGGGACCTGTACTCGAGGTATCCAGAACAACCCTGTAATAAACGATGATAGCCCTTTGCCTTTTTACAATCGACTCGTCCCGGCGACTGCACTACTTGTCATGGCTTCAACTTGAACCAGTCTTCGGGTTTCGAGGCGCCACGGGATGCCAATGTTGCCATTGGCCGGAATCGTAAATGGCAAATATTATACGACGAATATATAGCGTTCTTCAATAAGACGCCAGAGCTAGCCCACTATTGCAAATACCATACAAGCCATGGGCCTATGGCGTCTCTCTATGGTAAATTACATGTTCTTATGTCGAAAGAATGCTTGGTAATATTGTGAACATTTTGTCGCATTCATAGAGTTTCATGTTACGGAATCGAAGGTATGACATACTTGAACTTATATTCACATTATTTTATTTTCTAAATCCAATGACAAGAATGGCGTAAAAGCTGGTCAGTTATAGGCATTTCAGCCCATTCTATAATCTATAAATTATAACACAATAATAATAATAATAATAATAATAATAATAATAATAATAATAATAATAATAATAATAATAATAATAATGGAGATGAAAATGATGAGGATGATGATTATGATAATGGTAACAATAATAATAGTAATAATAATACTATTATTATTATTATTATTAACATATAACATAGGCCTATAATACAAGGTTTTTATTAATTTAATTTTCCAAATTGTACAATGAATTTTGAGTTTACTTTTCAGAAATTTTGATGGTCTTAAATTCTTAAAATTAATTAACAAAGAAAAATTATGAACGATAAATGAATAAACAAGCAAACATCTTGCGAGTCTGTGATATCGTCTTTGGTATTCAACGGTTGACATTGAACTACCAACTTAATTTTAGAACACTGTCCAATTGAACATATCTAATCAATTTTCAATATAAAAAAAAATCACAGTAAATTACCGGGTTTATAGAAACTTAATGCGGTATATTGGTTTCCACCAAAACAATTCAGCATCCTACAGAAAATTTGCAGATTGGGATCAAATATCAAATGTGATGCCACAAGTCATTTTATATTTTTATAGATATTCCATCGTTTTAAAGAAAATCAATCAATAATCAAGTTTATCAATTATACTACTACTGCGTTTTCATAACACTCGGTTCATGAATTCTCGAGATTCTCGAGTCACGTTGCACCCTCCATATCTACATGTGGCCCACAGCCCTGGGCTTAGGCACACAGCTTTGTGTTATGGGTTTTAGTACTAAGAGCATTTTAGTACTGCAGCAAGCCTCAGGACCACTGACAAATAAGACCTTAAGCTAAATATCTCTGATGTTTGGTCAGCCTATTGTAGAACTTTCCCGTTTGCTAAACCATTTTATGCTTTCATTACAAACTTAATTTTATAAAATTGATCAAAGAATGAGAGTACTATTACATTATTTATGCACTGTCTCCGAGAAAACCAAAATAAATACAATATGCTATAACCAGAAATTTGAAAAATCTAAACAACAGACGATTGCAGAGAATCCAATATTACTGCATCTATGGCGTTCAATGTGAGACCAATGCAGGCAGTGGTTAGTAAGATCACAACCCAAAAAAGCTCTAAATGTTGGTATCTGTAGTAGCTTGCATCCTAACAAAAAAGAGGTAGGACGGTCCCATTGTGTCCACCCAGGCGAGGTAGGCCTATTTGAAACTACGTCGGATAATTATGGAGTTTCCCATTATCATCATCATCATCATCGCCATTCGTATCTATGAATGCAATAATCATTATGGTAAATAAGAGCAACAGCAAAAATCCCATGCTAAATCTGGAAGACTTGAGTTGTGGTATCAAATATTTGGCGAGTTGATTCGCCGAGCGGTTAAGTCAGGGGCACCGTAACCTTCCGCGCTGGTTCGAACGGCTCACTCGCCAATGGGTCCGGTGGTGGAACAAGTCCCAGGCCCAGTGTACGCATTTGGCTCGTGTGCACTTTAAAGAACCTAGTACATCCTTTGAGAAGAGTAGGGGGTTACCCCGGTGTACTGGTCCATTAAGTCCCCTGTTGTTATGTTGTTATATGGATATGCCACGTAGGACAGTGATTAAGTTCACTTGAGCATATCCTTGGCGCTCTAGGATATATTTTCTGAGGGGTGGGGGCTAAGTTGTCCGACAGGGGGACTTGAGCTCGTAGGTTCGAGCTGGTAGAAGGGGTTGAGAGGGGGTTCCCCCTCCCAAATGATATGATAAGAATATCAACCTCTAGATGGCCGAAAATGGCACTCTCAGACTGTGACAAACGTGTTGGCTTGGTGTGGGCCTATTTTTATATGTTTTATGGTTTGACTGCCCGACGAGCTCTGTCCGGCGGGGGGGGTCTTGACCTGTCCGGTGGGGGCTTATGGCGACCCCCGCCCCTGCCACCCCGCTGGCACCGCCACTGGGTCAGACATGAAGAGGCATTGCCTAGTACTACCTAGGCCTAGAGTGCCCGACGAGCTCTGTCTTGACCTGTCCGGTGGGGGCTTAAGCCCCCCCCCCCTGCCACCCCGCTAACTCCGCCACTGCGCTCCTGCCTAAAGAAATGAAATGAAATAAAGGCAGTGTGTTGTTCCACAACAATCAAAGTTAATGACAGTGGATACAATAACTTGGACACCCATGTTGCTGACGAGACAAGACTCAATCGGACCAGTACATTAACTGACAACTGCCTCAGCAGACGACAGCTAGCTTATAGTTATAATCTAGCCTTATTAATCTTTATGTCACAATCATAGATGGTCCACATGGCTCGTCGTATACTCTCTAATTGATTCAATGTGAGGATCTTGTTGTGAGTTTAATGGGTATTCCGAGGTACAAAATTATCCGCGTGAACGGTGGTATAATTAGGATTTCAAAGGATGGAAGGAATAGACCCCAGTAGGGTAGGATTTAGAGAAGCAAGTCTGACCGAGTAGAGTACCAATGTGACCGACATAGCTCCATGGACACATGTACTTGTTTACACACTGGATATTTATAGTAATTACAAAACTTGTTCACATTCTGTTTTGTTTAGATTTTTTTTAAAAAGTGTGTTGCATGTCTTTATTATACCATATATGTTCACAAGTTGTTAAAATTCTATCTTTTATTTTTATGTTTCGAAAACAAATTTTTGAATCATGTACAGTTCAGGTTTGTTCAAACGAATAGATGTCTTCTCGAATTTCCTTACCAAATTTCTTGAACTGAAATCCTTGATAGTTATTACTGTTTCAATAATAATATCGATCGAGCAAAAGAACGAATGAATGAAAGTGAAAGTTGAATGTAAAACTTTGAGGCTCTGGTATCGATATGCTTGATACTTCCAGAAAATGCAGTATTCACTTTGACAGATAACAACATGTGCTACATGTAATGTTTGTTGCCTTAGAATTAAAAAGGTTAAAGTTTTCCCAGATATGAACAGATATGTTGTGATGTGCGAATTGCAAAACAATGGCAGATAGATCAGTGGAAGTTCTTAACGGAGTAGAAGTGTTGCTCTAAGGAAAGAAATCGGACGAAAACTATAGAGTTTACTTCATGGTAAAGAATACTCGGTCAGTGTTGGACTACAACACATTAACGAAAGTTTTGTCACATCAAAACTTAAATACACACCTTCTAATTTTTATTTATGTCCCGTTTATGCTGCTATCACAGTTGATGAGGATTACCTTCTCCAAAAAGAGATCCCAGTAATGATGAAGGAGGAGGGGGTTACGCTGCTATCACAGTTGATGGGGATTACGTTCTCCAAAAGATCTCACAGTAATGATGGGGGACGCAATTTGGTGATAACTCTCTGGAATATTGTGACCCAGAGATTGGTATCGAGCTGTTATTGTTCCAAGGAAAGGAAGGGATAGAGACAGTAAGAGCAACAATCACCATATTATTATAATAAGTCTATTGTACATGCAATCAAATTTTTTGTCTGAAGGATCATCTATGGCAGGATGAGAAAATGCAATGCCGTAAATTTTTTTTTCTTAAAAACATGCTGGTATTGTCGATCAGGTAGACCTGACAAAGAAAATCATTAACAGACAAGGTTATCGAAAGTTTAAAGGGCACATAGCGTTAATGATTTTAAACCATTTGTGTTACCCAAATGTGGGACATATTGACAAAATGAGTTTCATTTTAGTACCTGATCAACTTTGATCAAGTTTGGCAAAGATGAGAGGCTGCCAGAGATGGTTGCAAACTTTGTGTCGGTTTTTAGATACAAAGAGATGTGAGTGATGTACGATGTCACTCACCGACCATGTACTGTACAACATAATATGCAACGAAAACATCAACTGTGAGGAAGGAGTAAAATATCAAAAAAAAAAGGGGGGAAAAAAAAGTAGTAGCCACCTACTTTTCCCTAATGACTCTCCAATCACAAGCAAAAACAAACGTATGTAAATGCGTGTTTATATGAAGCAATACAGCAATCAACTAAAACACCAAGAAGACCAAATTACATAATAGAGCCCAATGGTAGATAACAAAACGACCAATCATTCAGGCCTCAACTTGGATGAAGAGACAATAAAAATAAAAAAACTTTAGAGATTATTTAATTGGGTCACTATTGTTTGATCGGATCTATATCAAAATATGCTTAACTCTCTGGAGATATCTCAAATTACGTGAGTAATCAATGCTATTCATTTTTTACTGATACCCAGTGATGTTCTCGTTATGTATTACATATCAGCGCGTCAGCGTCCTGATAGAGGGCACCTCTATTAATGTTATTTCTGTTACACTACTGCCATTGGGCGAGTGGGGCCAAGGTCGTTTGCTTTCATTCAATTATGTCGTAGGGTAGACAAATTCACGCCTAGATTAAAAAAAATTCCTTCAATTTTTTATTTCCTCAATAAAACACTGTATTAATATATATCAAATTTGATTCAATTCTGTTCCACCGCTGTGTACATAATATTGAAATTTAGGGCAATCACTATAAAATTTTAAGTTCTTAACAGTAAACAAAATATAATACATATTTATAGTGATTGCACCTGTAGGTAAAAGACAAAAACTATAATCTATTTTTATTGAATACAAAAATGTATTCTGTATTTTTAGGCCTACTATATTTTTTGCCGACTGATAGCTAGCTGGCGACTGGATTGGATAGTTTGTAATCATCAGTGAGATTACATAATTGAACAATATATATTAGGAATATCAGGCAAATATTTTTCAAGCTGGAAGATATCTTTTTTCATAGTTCAAATTTAATTAAACGCTTAAGGTTCTCATTCCATTAGCATGAACAAAATTCTTGTGTATATATTTCTTGTGTATATATATTAAAACAAACAAAAATGTTATTTAAAAGTTGTTTTGTTTATTGAAATAAAAGGGAAATAAAACTTTTTGCTTTTTATAATCTATTCAAGAAATGAAAAGTTTTTTTAGTACAAAAATGAAAATAAGACTTTTTTTTAAAGTATTTTATTAAGAAGGAAAATGTTTACAATACCTACTGTTTTCTTTACAAATTTGCATAAATTGGCTCTCATGCTTGCGACCTCCGGTCTTTATGAGAGTCTCCTCAGATCCTACAAGTTCAATTTTCTTTTGTAGTTATTTGTAATAATGATCTTTAAGATTGAACAAACTGTTTTGCGATTGGGTGATTGATTGCATTTATGATAAAAGTACATTTTAAATACTACAATAATTACGAATAAGATTTAGTTTACGTGCTGGTAAGTCAATATGCTATATGTCACTTGTCATTTCAAGTAGTTACTTCACATCAGGCTCGGAATTACACATAGCATTTATTCCTCATTTTTGTCAGGCCTTCCTCATTGCGCATCGTGGAAGGTGAATTGATAGGACAATTTCAATGGGCGGTAGGGGTCCAGCTTCTAATGCAGAGGAATGCTTCCTCTCACTGCCGGTAAAAGTTGTTGTGGACAGGTGCGTTATTCAAGCACTACCGCAGAGGTTAATAGCTCAATTATAGTAACCCAGAATAGAATTAACCTAGACCAGTGGAAAAAATAAGCAGACTGTTTGACCTTAGCGGGTTTACTGATAAAAACAACAAATCTGATGTGACCATCACGCCCTCACCTCTGCATGATTATCAGTTACAGCAGCGGCAACCCTTTGGTTTATATTTTTACAAACAATAACTTAGTACCTAATGTATTTATGCATGTACTTTATTGTATAATTATTAAAAATATATGTCGGGTTAAGGTTTGTTTGCGTAGACCTAGTGCACTTACTGCTCTATTTTAAAAATATAGTCAGAGATTAAAATACTGATGAACAATACTCGATCAAGTTTTGATTTATTATCGGCTGTGTTTTTGTTACCAAATTCTTGTCATTATGTAGGCCTAATGTTATTTTTTTTTAATAGCCTAGGCCTACTCATAATATTTCGATTAATGCTTAATTTCAAAATTAAATATTAATGTTAATGAGAAGTTTATATATAACTAACTATTTGATGACCACGGTTCAAACAGATAATATAGGCCTAAGCCTAAAAAGTGTTTTTGTTTATGAATGTGACATGTACAATTTCGGAATATCAAAATGAACAGAACACACAACATAGAGGGCGCCAAATATACTACGCTCTACTGTACTCTACTCTCTCTCGCTCTTGGGCACTGTGCTGTGAATGAGATGTATTTTTGATTGGTGAATTCTAACGATCATGTCAAGTAGGATAACGCAGGTAATTAAGAATTAGAAACTGAAGAACACGTTTTTTTTTTCTAGACAGTGTATTCCTGTAGGCATCCAAGGTTGAGTCAGTTAGGTCTAGCCTAGGCTAAGTCATTTAGTAGGCCCCATGCGGCTCATCATGTGGCTAGGCCTAGCCTAGGCTAGGTTAGTCCATATCATGGAGCAGCCATAGGCCAGGCCTGGCCGGCCTGCCCACCTACTAAGCTATACCTAGGTAGCCACCTTAGCCTAGGCTTAGTAGTAGGCTACTGTAGTTCTGCGTTGATCTAAGCCTAACTTGAATTATAGACTTCTTAGTTAGGGCAGGCCAAGTTTTCGTCCCTCACAATATCTTTCATAGATAGCCCATCATGGTGGTATCATGGTTGGCTCAATGAATTTCTCTCTGACATGCATGATTTCGTACAGTGGTGGTGGCCCAAGGATTTGCCCTCAGTCAGAATGGTCCAAGGGGAAAAGTTAGGGATCTGTAATAAGCTTTATCTGTAAACCTTGCAATAATAGGCCTGGGTGTGTTTTTCTTCCTGATGAATAGTGTTGAGGTAGGAAGGGATACCAGCTTTACTCAACAGGAGAGACTTCCATTCCCTCCCCCATTGGCACCATCCCTGCTCATTAGTCATTCAATATGTTATCGATAACAAAGTTTGAAAAATATTTTTCCTATCTCAGCTAACTGCGGCCCTAGTAACTGCAGCAGTTCTTTTTTTATGTACAGCAATGGCTAACATTTAGCCGAATGTGGTACCTTGTTGATGCATACAAGCAACCACCCGGTAGACTGGCAAGCTTGGTAACACCTTTCCTGACAGGCAAGAACAAGCCCATCTACCATCCCCTAAGTGAGTCATGATTCTGCATTTAAACATTTGGCATTATTAGTCCTTATGGACAATTTAAAAATTGGCAGTTGGCTCATGATCAAAAATAGAAAAACACAGTTTACAAGATTTAATATTTCTTTACATTTATAAAAAATCGTATTTATATAAGCTAAATAGTAAACATGCTCACCTTAGCTCCAACTATGGTGGGACTGAGAGGTATAGTGAGGACCCCCAAGAGCCAAGAAAGCAGCTACACTCCCAAATTTAATAATAGGGCTTTGGGTAGCCTTTAAAGGGGTGCCTAAAAATGTGTCACTACCTGAACAAGTTTGAAAACCAGCTTATTAATTAAATTAAATTACTTAATGTTCTCTATTCAGTTTTTTTCTGTTGGTATTTCATTTCCACTAGCTCCCAACACTACTATAAAATTCATTTAATGTCCGTGAAATTTCTTAAATAAGTTTGCATTACAGTATATACAAAAACAAAAATGTATTCCATACCAGATTATAGTATTGTTATGCTCATCTTTCACAGGTGATGTTGGAGACCACGTTGTTATCATCAACACAAAGCATGTTGCATTCTCTAAGGATAAATGGAAAGAAAAAATTTACCATCATCATACAGGGTGAGAAATTATTACAATTGATAACCTACAATGATATATAGATCGATATACTGTACTGATAAGTATTATGGTTAGGGATTTTGTGTGCTTACCATTTTATTGAAACTTATTTTTTCAATCTGATGCATCAGTTCTTATTAGAAATGTATTTACTTGGTGCAACCACAAGCATTTCCTTCCAAGTTATATCTGATGATCTAATAAGTTTGAACATGTGGATTGCATACTTTTTGTATTTTACTTCCAATTAATGGTGAGCACTGTAATACAGATTTTCCCTTAGTCTTAAGATACATTCACTAGCAATCAATTTCTTAATAAAACTTTTATTTATGTTATTTGAATTTTTTATTTTTTTTCCCAGATATATTATCATGATCATTGTCACCACCACCACCATCATCACCTCTACCATCATCACTTCCACCACCATCATCACCACCACCACCACCATCACAATCATCTCAGTCAACATCACCATTATTATTAAAATGTTATTGTTTGTTTAATTCATAAATTTTTTTGCTTATTCAGATATCCTGGTGGGTTCAGCAGCACACCTGCATTTAAAGTACATGAGAAAGACCCAAAGAAGGTAAATACATTGTTATAACATTGTTTTTTTTAAAATTCTAATATCATATCAAAATACTAATCACTTGATACTAATTTTTGTGGTTAATGTTAGTGTGACCTACCTATTTCTTCTATTTCTTTGGGAACTTTGGTATTTTATTTTATTTTGTCTTAAACATAAGCAGGGCAGCCGAGTCGGAGATGTTAAATTGACTTCTTAGCGGAACTGAAATTAATGGATGTCTTACAAAAAATAATAAAATTATTGAGAATAATATAAATACAGTATAAAACACTGATGGCTATACAGCTACTTGTAATCTATAAATACTGTATAATTATTATTAAATCTTTATATTTTTCTTGTTTGTAAGATTGTTTATAAATCAATATACGGCATGCTACCAAAGGACTTACGGCGACGAACCATGATGTGTCGTCTGCATCTGTTTGAAGATGATGTAAGTATCAAGTATTGACTGCTTATGTTATATACAATAACAATTCAAATAAAATTGGGTAAAAAATCCTACAAAGTATGAACTAGCCATATTTAAAAATACAATGATATTTTAACATGTAAAATTAGTATACTTAATAGATGTCCTATTTCTTTGACAATAAAACCCCACTCCAGGATATAATAAACCATGCATACTCCATTGGCGAATCCAGACATGTCCGAAAAGGGGAGGGAGCTGATCAAGGAACAACACTACCCTAGGGGTCTGGGGCATGACACCATGGAAATAACCTCTGGGGTCTTTGTGGGTGACCAATAGTTTCATTTTCTTTCTGTTTTATTATTTTTGTTTTACTTTCCAAAAGGGAGGGAGAAGCTTACGAAAAAAGCAATTAAATCAGAAGCCAATGTCAACTTTTTGAAAAAATTGTAAAACCTTTGGTGTTTTCCCGAAATTTATTAATTGCCTTTATATTAATTGTTTTGTTTTTAATCTAGAATATCCCTGAAGATATACGAGAGAACATTGTGGAGCATATCAAGGGACCACGAGATATTCCACGTACATTGCGTGAGTACACACCTGAAGAACGTGCTGCCTTTCCTACGCTATGGTATCCGTAAGTATTATATTAAATATTCTTTCTCTTTAAATACTTTCAAGTAAAGCGTAAACTTTGGGTCTGTTCTATGTGTTTGTTATTTACAGGAACATTTTGGTGGATTTTAAGCAAGTTGGTCACCAGGAAACCTTTGGACTACACTCACAAAACAATTGTTAAAAATTCATAAACCATAGTGTCTCATCAATATAACGTTTGTCTGTTGTTTTTTTAGAATTGATCCTCTGAAGAAAAGTTGATCTTTACTTTAGAATTCAGTCCTTAACCAATCGTGTGAAGATAGTTGAATGAATTGTCAAAATAGGATGCAGATCTTCTCAATCTACAAGAGAATTCGATGACAGTGGTGCTGTAACCTCTATTACCAAAAAGAGTGAACGGTAAACTTATGCTAAGGCTGAGACCGTACAATGGGTTGTCAGCAGGCACTAGGATGCACAGGATTGTCAGAACTTGTTTGGGGACGGTTTTATCAGAACATAGGATACAGTATGATACGATAGAACTTTATTGTCACAACGGTATAAATACAGCTATGAGATATGGATCCTTAAATACACTAATATTAGTTAATATAGAAAAATAATTAAAATACAAAAAAGTTGCACAACAGAAATTGCTTAGAATAAAAACACTGTACATTGCAAGAATTACTGAGTGTGATGGAAAGGCAAGATAAAACTGTACAATGTGGTTTATCTATTGAACTGCATATTAAAATGTCTGACTGCTGATGGATGGAATGAATGAATTGAAACTACATACTACTACTACATGGATATGGAGGGCTTTGTCAATCCAATGCTTGTTAAGAGCATGCCAAAGCCACAACACATCGGTGGTTGTTAGTAACTTGTTTGAATTCTGTACCTTGAAAAATTGATAGTGACAATCAAACCCCCCATATAAGACCTATCGGAATTACAGTATTTAGTTTATAACATTTTAACGTTGATAAAGAAAGCAAGAGCTATCGAAATATCCATTCTATTATATTTTATTTTAATAAATTTGTGTTCCGCAAGTCGACCTTCAATGATGGTACATTGTCTTTTCATTATTTTTACATTTTATTTTACTTGGAGCACACATGCAAATACACTCTTCAATAGTTTATAACATGTACTGTTTCTCTATCATTGAAGGGCGCCCTCACTGATCACATAGAAATGCGGTTTAAAGAGAACTGTAGGCATTTACCATGTTCTACCAGCTATACACTGACTATTAGTTTAACTCATTTCTTAGTTGTAATATGATAGTTTACTCTGATTATCGTGACTGGTGTGAGCATTTATATTGCGCCTTTTCTTTGCAGTCATTTTGAATTCTTATTAAATATTTGTCAAAACACTTAATTTAAGGTGCAAAGTTTTCATTAAATGTCGCATTGTATCAAAGTCAATGGATTATATCATACAGTTACAACAGCGTATTCGAGTCATGTGATTACTGTATATGGAACAGTTACATTTTATATGATATTTGAAAGAGGATGTTGTACCGATGATCATGCCTGCGTAGCCAAGGGTCCCAGAAAGAGTTAAATTTTAGCCCCCCCCCCCACCTTGTAAAAATCAAAGTGGTAACTAAATACAGTATGGTGCTCACCCCTCCCTAAATTTTCTGGAGATGCATGAAAACTTATTTGATCTACTTAAAATTCAGTGACGTCATGATATCAAATTAGGACACTATCAAATAAATATTTTAAGTCTGAGAATGGAATTTCTGGGTAGCCTATTTAGTGTTGTTACATCATTGATTTTTTTTCTCCTCAGTCCCAATCATTGTGTGACTGAGGTAGGTGTGGCCCTTAGTCTAGCTACGGGGCTAGATCTTGAATTTATTTCCGTTTAAATAGCGAGACTAGGAATGTGTTTCAAAACGAAATTATTTACAAATACACGGAAGTAATTTTTATTAAAGTACAATTTATGATCAGTAGACATTACTTTTCTTAAATTTACCTTTAGCTAATTTAAAATGTTTATGTATTTCTTAAGTGTGAAATGTCATCGTTGCTTTTGAAGTACCTCGCATGAAAACATCTAAAATAATATAGGCTCGTGAGATTATACGGTGGTACATGCTGAACTACCACCAACCCTGTAGAGATGTGCCCATGTACCTTTCTGTAAATAACACAGTCAATGTTGTTGGTTTTAATAAGAGATTAATAATATTTTTATATTTTATTTATTTTACTTCATTTTATTTTATTATTTTTATTATTTTTTTTAGTATTTGTAATAAATATAATATGTAAACACCTTTGTATTATTTATACTTTGGAAATACAATAAAAAGTCCACCATATTTATCAGGGTAATTTATCCATACAACAGTCGTAAACCTCAAACACCATTAATAATAAGCAATCAAATCAATTTTATATCTTATTTTCTGCAATGACATTAAACTGATGATTAGATGGACGGATACCATAGAATAGACCTATAGCAACTAAATTTGTAGTAATAATCTTTCTATAAAGCATGGCATTATTTGATATGTCCAATATAAGTATTGATGATGACGGTGCAGTAATAAAGAATGAATGGATGATTTCAATATGGTCCTAACAAGCTTTAACTCTAGATGGTAATAAAATATAAGATAAAAAATATATAAACTGACAGAAGTAATCTACAAGTTAGTCTGCCAAATATAATAATATGTACGCATGGTTTCACTTAAGTTAATCATCTCAGGTGCGAGTAGTCATAGCAATCAAAAACAATCTAACCTGTATCTAGGCAACGCGCAACTTCCTTCTGGAATTTAGATTACAGACATATTCAAGGCGAAAATTATGTTTACTTTATTTAGAGCTCTTCCTTTATCTATTAGCTCGAAATATTTATTGTAGCTCGCCAACACCAAATAGGATAGAGGGCGTATCAACTAAGCCGTCAAACGATAACGTGTATGGCCTTTCAAAATTGTGTGAATTGATTCAATAATGGTTATTCATTGGATTGATATTGATATCTACGTATCTACGTTATCTCTGTCTCCGATTATACTTTCAGGTAAACACTCTCGGCTATAATCAAATCGGATACAAAAGAAGAAAAGTATATTACAGCTTATTCTATTGTTACTCTCTATCTAAGTTCGGGAGAAGCGATGATAATTTTCTGTCGCTACGATACCGATACTAACGAATGGTTACCATAGACTTTATTATTAGAAATAAATGTACGTGTTAATAAAAACAGAAGGCCACACGCTGTGCTAACGCCGAAAGATACGGTAACAATAATTCGAATGCTAGCAGGTAAGCAAATTACTTTTCTTTATTTAGAATATAAGCCTACATTAAGTTACAAGTATTTACAAGGAACTACAGTATGATAGTCCAAAAAAATAGCATGTTATGAGACTTTATATTTTGGGGCGGGATGGGGGTAAGATAAAGATCCTTACTCATAGTCTGAGCAATGTTAGTCTTTGTAGATCTGCATAAATAAACTTTATAGTTACATTATAGTTAAATATAAATATAAATATATATAATATGTATATACATATATATACAATATGTATATACATATATATATACATATATAGGCCTATGATTATTATTATATAAATATTTATTATATTTTGTATTTGTATGTAGGCCTATTTTTTTTCTTTCATTTGCATTAATTTCCACGTCATTAGCAAAAAAATGAAACTACATGATGGCG